GGGCTGGATTTGAACCCGCCACCTTAGGTGTATGTGGCTGGCACCTTAGCCACTTGAGCCACCGGTGCCGAGCCAGTGTTGAGACTTTGAAAGCCATTTTTTATGTGTGAAATATAATTTAATAAATTCTTGTGAAAAATGTCATGACATTTTAAACAATAGCAATCTTCTAAAAAAAATTCACTCAAATGAGAAATATGCCCAAAAAAATAATACTATACATAATTTTTTAATGTACTATATTTGTAAATTGTACTTATGTTGAAATTAAAAATATATATATTACAATACCCCCACCCCCACCCCAGGCAATGGTGTCCTGCTTTACCAATGTTAAAATCTGGTCACTTTAGCTTAAGCCCCAGAGTTTGAGATTGCTATGAGCTGTGATGCCATAGCCCTCTACTGACGGTGACATAATGAGGCTCTGTCTCAAAAAAAAAAAAAAAAATGGCTCGGTGCCCGTAGCACAGTGGTTATGGCGCCAGCCACATACACTGAGGGTGGTGGGTTAGAACCCAGCCTGGGCCAGCTAAACAACGACAACTGCAACAAGAAAATAGCCGAGTGTTGTGGTGGGCACCCGTAATCCCAGCTACTTGGGAGGCTGAGGCAAGAGAATCACTTAAACATAAGAGTTTGAGATTGTTGCGAGCTGTGATGCCACACACTCATACTGAGGGCAACATAGTGAGACGCCGTCCCAAAAAAAATAGAAAGAATGTTGATAATTGGAAAATTGAACAAGAATCTGTGTGGTATAATAAGAAATATTGGGGGGTGGTGCCTGTGGCTCAAAGGGGTAGAGCACTGGGCCCATATGCCAGAGGTGGCGGGTTCAAGCCCAGCCCGGCTTAAAACTGCAAAAAAAAAAAAACAAAAACAAAGAAATATTGGGTCTTGTCCCAGGGTCCTTGACATAGGACCCCTAAAACTCTTAGAATTTCCTGAGTCTTCGGAGTGGCTCTTGTTATTTTTAATGGTCACCTTTTGATCCAACCTGAATTTATGCTAATGAGGTGACTTACATGGGACCCTCTCGATAGCCTTACGATGAGATTGTCACTAGAAAGACTATGGTGATCAGAGGGTATATTTGGAGACAGCTCTTTGAAAACTTGAATGAAAGCTGGGCATGGTGGCTCATACCTGTAATCCTAGCCCTCTGGGAGGCTGAGGTGTTGGATTGCTTGAGCTCAGAAGTTTGTGACCAGCCTGATCAAGATCAAGACCCTATCTCTACCAAAACTAGAAAAAAATAAGCCGGGCATAGTAGCAGGCACCTGTAGTCCCAGCTACACAGAAGCTGAGGCAAAGGATCACTTGAGCCTAAGAGTTTGAGGTTACTGGGTTACTGTGAGCTATGATGGCAAGGTACTCTACTACCCAGGGCAATACAGTGAAACTCTGTTTCAAAAGAAGAAGAAAGAAGAAAGAAGGAAGAAGAAAGAAAGAAAAGAAAACTTGAAGGCCGGGAGCAATGGCTCACTCCTATAATCCCAGTACTTTGGGATGCTGAGGCAGGTGGATCACCTGAGCTGAGGAGTTCGAGACCAGCCTGAACAAAGTGATACTCCATCTCCATTAAAAATAGAAAAATTGGGGCAGTGCCTATGGCTCAGAGTAGGGTGCCAGCCCCATATGCTGGAGGTGTAGGGTTCAAACCCAGCCCCAGCCAAAAACTGGAAGAAAAAAAAAAAAAAAAGAAAGAAAGAAAAATTGGCTGGGCGTTGTGGTGGGTGCCTATAGTCCCAGCTACTCGGAGGCTGAGGCAAGAGAATTGCCTAAGCCCAAGAGCTAGGTTGCTGTGAGCTGTGATGCCATAGCACTCTACTGAGGGCAACAAAGTAAGACTCCGTCTCTAAAAAAGCAAAACAAAACAAAACACTTGAATGGGATCAGTGAGCACTGGGCTGCCTATTCATCTCTTCCACTTGACTGTTCCTACGCTGTAGCCTTTATCAACGTCTTCCTGAGTTGTGAATCGTTCTAGCAAATTACTGAACCTGAGGGAGCAGGGTCATGGGAACCCCTGAATTTGGAGTTGGGTAGGCAAAGGTGCCGTAGGCTGGGTGCTTATGGCTGCCATCTAAAGTGAGGACAGTAGTGTGGGGCCAAGCCCTTGTGGAACCTGAGGCTAACTTCAGGTAGAAAGTGTCAGAATTGATTTGTTGGATACCCATGTGGTGTCAGAGAGCTGGAGAAGTGGTATTGGGAAACCACACAGCATTCAAGGCTGAGGTAAAAATAACACTTGAATAACGTGTTGGTGTTTTGAGGACAGCATAGCCCAGGAGGGCTGATCTCTATGGAGAGATGTGATGGGCCATGTTAATGGGATACCAGAGCCAGGCTAGGATGGCTGTGAGCCCTGTGGGAAGGAGTTGCCCACTGTGGGTGATTTAGAGGTGAGGATGGGCCATGACCAAAGCTGAATTTGGAGAGAGAATCATTGGAGGCCTGTTGGGTCTGAGATCAAAGACCAGGACTGTCTTCCTTGCCGGCCATGTGAACATCTCCAAGTCACTGCTTTGAACTCGTCCTTAACAGAAGAGACAGGCCCATCCCACATGGAGAGTTTAATGAAACGGTGTTTATGAAGTTGTACTACTTTTCTGTTTCCGTGAACGTTTATTGACTGATAAACACCTTCAGCCTGCACGTGGGCACTGTGGCCATCCAGAGATTGAGCAGTACTGAAAGGAATAGGCCTGAGGCTCTTGCCAGATCCAGCTAAGTGCTGATGGAGCCTGCGGCTCAGCCTGGCTTTGCCTTTGTCCTGCCCTCCCCACCCTGCTGTCCTCTCTGTATGTTCTGCTGGTGACTCCTGCTGCCATTTTCTTGATCTCCAAGGGCCCCTACTCCCTGGCTGTCTTCTCCAGACTGCCACATGGTAAAGCTTAAGTCCTGAGAGTAGCCGGGCTGTAGGCTGCCTCCTGCCTCCTGCATTTGAAGTGAGCAGCTTTTGTGCCAGTCTGACATGGGAAAAAGCCCTATGCTAGCTCTGTCACAGGCTGTGGGGCCCATCCTTAGCCTTCTGCCTACACCATGGCATCTGTGCTTTGTCTGAGAAATGGGCTTCCCACTTACCTTCCCTTTCCTCTGGTAAAGAGTATGATAATTGTGTCACACTAACAGTTACATCTGGGGTCTCCTGCTCTGGGTAGGTGGTTTGAGTCCAAACCCATGGGGCTTGGCTTTTGGTCTGACCTGCCCTGGTGCTGCGTTCTCAAGATCTGGGCACTGGCATGGGGTGACCCTGTGAGAAGCAGAAGCTCCTCCTGACCCTATGGTAGAGAGGACACCAGGAACCTGCCTGTCTGACCCTCCATCCACAGGCCCTCAGTTTGGAGCCAAGGAAGACTTGGAACCGCCCTTTGCTGCTGCCCAGACCCCGGTGTGGCGGCCGCAGATACGAACTTGCTGCCATGATGGACAGGATGGGGTGGACCAAGTTAAGACACAGCCAGCATGGCCCTCTCCGCCCACCTTGACCTCACAATTCACTGTTAATAAGAAATATGCCAATTTCCTCTTACTACTTATGAAAAAGGGGCAAGGGCACTGGAAAGGCTTTGGTGTGAGTAGTTCTGGGGGGTGCTGAGGATATGAAAGGCGTGTACCTGTGAAAAGTAACGTGTGACTCCCCTTCTGCCAGGTGGATACTGAGACCCAGATTACCAAGCTTTGACTTTTTTGGGAAGAGCCGGATGTCTAGCTTTTAATATGTTAAAAAACGCTTCCTTGTTTGTATAGTAGTAGGTATAACAAAAAAAAATGCTGCCAATTTAAAAATATTGGCAACCTATTCAAATTTCTGAAACAATACTGAGTGGACTTCAAGCCTGTGGCACCAAGAGAATGATCTTTCCCAGGCCCCAGAAACACCAAGCCAGGCCAGCAGCAGAGGAAGGAGCAGGTAGTGCACTGGGCCTACCCCAGCTTATTCAGTTTTTCTCTTGGGGATAGTCCTGCCCAACCCTTTCTGCTCCCAGGCTGGCGGGCTGAGTGTGGCTTCTTAGCTACAACAGTTGTCCCTGCAAAAGCACTGGCCCAGGGTCTGTAACCTGGGGTCCAGGCTTGTAATGATGATCACGTGACAGCACAGGCAGCATGTGGACATCAAATACCAGACCTCAAAATGTCAAGGGGTAGGGTCACAGGGCGGACATCCTAGGCCTCTATTTTATTACTCTTTTTTTTTTTTTT